TAAATACTTACATTGTTTATATGTAGTATATAACTTATATTTACATATTTATAACATTTAATCTATACAATTTTAAATATATATGATTTATGGATCATTAAGAGTATTAAGATGAACAAAACAATAGAAATTACACAGAAAAAGAACATGACTGTTAACATATGAAAATATTTTTAGCCTTATTAGTAATCAGGGAAATCTAAGTTGAAACAACACTGAGATACCATTTCATATCTACCAAATTGGTACAAATTTTAAACGTCTAACATTAAGTATTGGGGAAGCGTGGAGCTATGGGAACTTTCATATATTGCTGCTAGTAGGACTATTAACTGCTTTGGAAAGAGGTTTGGCATTATTTGGAAAAGTTGAACTTCGGTGTGTGTTTCAGTTACCTGTTGCCGTTTAACAAATGACTCCAAAACGTAATGGTTTAAACAACAGTGATTTTTTTTTATTATCCACAGTTGTGGGTTAACTGGATTCTTCTGCTCTGTATACTCTAAGTTGAGTTCATTCATATGGTTGCATTTAGCTGAGTCCTTGGCTGGGGCTGAAACATCCTAGACAGCCTCTCACCCTCCAGGGCCTCTCTCACTTGACTGGTCATCATTTGGTAATCTGTCCCACTTTGTATCATGGCATCTGGGTACCAAGAGAGAGACAGTGGAAGCTGCCAGCCATCTTACAGTATGGGGTTGAAAATCTCAGAATATCACTTCCATCACATTATATTGCTCAAAAAAAGTCATACAGCTAACCCAGACTCAAGGGGAGAGGAAAAATACATTCTTTCTCTTGATGGAAGGAATGCCAAAGGATTTGTGGCCATGTTTGATCTATAACAGTACCCTATAATCCAGCAGTTTCACCAGCGGGTATATATGCCTTAGAGAAATTCTTGCACGTGTGACTGGAAAAAGTGAACAAGAATATTTTTTTCGAAGATTTCATTTATTTGAGAGAGAGAGTGCGTGAGAGAGAGAGAAATCATGAGCAGAGGGGAGGGGTAGAGGGAGAAGCAGACTCCCCACTGAGCAGGGAGCCTGATGCAGGACTCTATCCCAGGACCCTGGGATCATGACCTGAGGCAAAGGGAGACACTTAACTGGCTGAGCCACTCAGAACAGGAATATTTTTAGCAACATTGTTCATAATAGAAAAAAAAGAGGGATGCCTGGATGGCTCAGTGGGTTAAAGGTCTGCCTTCGGCTCAGGTCATGATTCCAGGGTCCTAGGATTGAGCCCCACGTTGGGCTCCCTGCTCAGCAGGGAGTCAGCTTCGTTCTCTCCCTGTACGCCTCCCCCCTGCTCGTGCATGCTCTCTCTCTCTCTCTCTCTCTATCTCAAATAAATAAAATCTTAAGAAAACTGGAAACCATCACCCAAATATATAAATAGTAGAATGAATAAATAATTTATAGTATGTTCATATGTAGATATTATGTATTAATTAAAATAAATGTAGCTATCTGCACCAACATGGATAAATCTCCACACTATTTTGTGAAAAAGCAAATTGTACAGTAACATACTATATGAATCCATTATATAAAGTTCAAATTTAAGCAAAAATTAAACGTATTTTTTTTTAAGTAATTTATATGCCCAACATGAGGCTTGAACTCCTGACCCCAAGATTAAGAGTTGCATGCTCTATTGGTTGAACCAGCCACACACCCCAGGCAAGCTTTTCCTGTAAAGGGCCAGATAGCAAATATTTTAGGCTTCATGGGCGAGAGGCAAAATTGGAGGTAGTATGTAGGCATGAGATGTATATATGACATTATATATAAGTATATACATGTACTTGAGCCATATGTATAACAAGAGAGAAACCAATTTCCACAATATGTTTTATGAGTGAAGTTCAAAATACGTACAGTTGTTTGGCAATACAATGAGAAGAATGAAATTCTTTTTTGGGGGGAAGAGAGAGGGTTTATTAGTTTCCTAGGGCTGCTATAACAAAGTACCACAAATTGAGTGGCTGCAAATAAATTAATTCTCTCACAGTTCCGGAGGCTAGATGTCTAAAATCAGGGCGTCACCTGGGCCATTCTCCCTCTGAAATTCTGGGTAGAATTCTTCCTTGCCTCTTCCACAGTGTGAGAAAGCTTCTGGTGACATCCAGCAGTCCTTGGCATTCTTAGCTTGCATCACTCCAATCTCTGCCTTTGTCATCACATGGTATTCTTGTATATGGGTCTTCATGTAGTCTTCCCTCCTCATTTCCAGTCGTACTGGATTGAGGGCCCACCCGACTCCAATATGACCTCATCGTATCTAATGACATCTGCAACGATCCTGTTTCCAAATAAGGTCACATTCTGAGGTACTAGAGGTTAGGACTTCAGCATATCCTTTTGGTAGATACAATTCAATACACAGCAGGGAGGTAATGCTTGGCTTCATTGGGGTTCAAATTTAGTGTTCCCGGGGCACCTGGGTGGCTCAGTGGTTAAGCATCTGCCTTCAATTCAGGCCATGATCCTGGGATTGAGCCCCGTGTCGGCCTCCCTGCTCAATGGGGAGCCTGCTTCTCCCTCTCCCTCTGCTGCCGCTCTGCCTACTTGTGTTCTCTCTCTGTCCCTCTGTTAAATAAATAAATAAAATCTTTAAAAAATTAATGTTTCCTCTCATCAAATTGATCATAAATATTCATCTGTAAACTATTCTTTTTTTTTTTAAGATTTTATTTATTTATTTATTTGAGAGAGCGAGAATGAGAGAGAGAGCACATGAGAGGGGGGAGGGTCAGAGGGAGAAGCAGACTCCCCGCTGAGCAGGGATCCCGATGCAGGACTCGATCCCGGGACTCCAGGATCATGACCTGAGCCGAAGGCAGTCGCTTAACCTACTGAGCCACCCAGGCGCCCTGTAAACTATTCTTAGCTTTAGGACTATACACAGATAGATGGACGGTCAGATTTGGCCCTTGGCTTAGGCATAGATGTGTTGGCATTAGGAATAGTAAAAAACAGGGGAATGAGTAATTATATGTAAACTAGTTGTTACTTTGTGGGGTGGGAGAGGAAGAAGGAGGATAGAATTAGAGGAATAGACTGGTGGCTTCTGGAATGTTGGTAATATTCTGTTTCTCTTCACCTCTTCTCCACTCCCTTCTTTCCTACCAAAATAATTATTTCCTTTTTTTTAAAGATTTTATTTATTTATTTGAGAGAGAGAGAATGAGAGATAGAGAGCATGAGAGGGAAGAGGGTCAGAGGGAGAAGCAGACTCCCTGCCGAGCAGGGAGCCCGATGTGGGACTCTGTCCCGGGACTTCAGGATCATGACCTGAGCCGAAGGCAGTCGCTTAACCAACTGAGCCACCCAGGCGCCCCCAAAATAATTATTTCTTATTTTAAAACCCTTCCCCATGTTCACCTCTGACCTTTTCTGGAGTGTAAATCCTATAGATCTTGGCAGAGACCTTATGTTCTTTTTGCTAACAAGTCTGTTTATCTGGCTACTGTCCCCTTTTCTCTTTGCCATTGTCACTTTCACTGTATTCTCTTTATCCTTCTCCTTTGACAAGCTTTTTTTTTTTTAAAGATTTTATTTATTTGAGAGAGAGAGAGAGAATGAGAGAGAGCATGAGAGGGAAGATGGTCAGAGGGAGAAGCAGACTCCCTGCCGAGCAGGGAGCCTGATGCGGGACTCTGTCCCGGGACTTCAGGATCATGACCTGAGCCGAAGGCAGTCGCTTAACCAACTGAGCCACCCAGGCACCCTCGCATAATGTTTTCAAGGTTCATCCATGTAGCATGGATCAGTACTTCCTTTTTATTATTGAATATATTTCACTGTATAGATATACTGCAATTTATTTATCCACTCATCAGTTGATAGACATTTACATTTTTCCCAATCTGGCTACTATAAGCAATGATGAGCATCTGTTATGCAATGATTTGCTTTTAGATAATTTCTTTTAAGTGGTATGTATTCATTGTAGAAAATTTGAAAAAGCCTGAAAAATATAAAGAATGTGATAAAATTTATTCATAATTGCATCACTCAAAATAAGCTTTGTTAACACTTTTTCTGTGGGGAAAAAATACATGTGTGTATAGTTTATTAATTCCTCATTTCTTGTTAAGATCTACTTTTTATCTGGGGGCGCCTGGGTGGCTCAGTCAGTTAAGCGACTGCCTTCAGCTCAGGCCATGATCCCAGGGACCTGGGGTCGAACCCCATGTCGGTCTTCCTGCTTGGCAGGGGAGCCTGCTTCTCCCTTGCACGCCACCCACCTGCCCCGCTCATAACTCTTTCTGTCACTCATTCTGTCTTTCAAATAAATGAATAAAATCTTTACCAAAAAAAACGGTTTACTTTTTATCTGGCCAGATTTTGTTTGCCAAATCAGAACAAGACTGGCCAACTGCAGTTGTAATAATTTATAAATCATTGTGCAATGGCAGTATCACAGAGCTATTAGCTTTCAGGGAGGGAGGGAGGAAGGAAGGGAGAAAGTTTGTTTTTATGTTTTTAAAGATTTTATTTATTTGAGAGAGAGCATGAGTGGGGATGGGGTGCGGAGCAGAGGGAGAGGAAGAAGCAGGGAGCCCGTCTTGGGCTTGATCCCAGGACCCGAGACCACCACCTGAGCTGAAGGCAGATGCTCAACTGACTGAGCCACCCAGGTGCCCCGGTTTAGAGAAGATTTTATTTATTTATTTATTTTATTATTTATTTATTTTAAAGATTTTATTTATTTGTTAGAGAGAGTGGGACCACGAGCAGGGGGGTGAGGGGCAGAGGGAGAAGCAGACTCCCCACCCAGCAGGGAGCCCAATGCAGGGCTCCATCCCAGGACCCTGAGGTCATGACCTGAGCCAAAGGCGGACGCTTAACCAACTGAGCCACCCAGGCGCCCCTAGGGAAAATTTTAGAGGAGGAAACATATATATTGTGAAAATATGCAGAAGTTCCTGTTTCTAATAAGTAAATGAAACATTGAGGTTTCTTATAAGGTCATTATTTGTTCTGTCGTAGGAGGCTAGCAGGATGTACAGTTTTTATCACAGGTGCAAGCCGTGGCATCGGCAAAGCTATTGCATTGAAAGCAGCACGGGACGGAGCAAACATTGTCATTGCTGCGAAGACCACCCATGTAAACCCCAAACTTCCAGGCACAATCTTTACTGCTGCTGAAGAGAGTGAGTGAATGGGATGATGCCATTTCATGAAATGTTTTAAGCATGGTTTCGATACGTAGAGAATTTGCTGGAGAGTTTAATTCTAGCTATTTGAAAGCTACTCTAAAAATAATTTTATCTGGTTAAAGAAATATTTTCTCACCTTAGGGCAGTGATTTAGGAACTGTTTTTTTTCCCAGCACTTTTGTATGGTATGAGAGACTCCCCTTAAAAATCATGTCTCTTGAGGGCAGTGGTTCTTGGATCTGTGCAGAGAATGGGGGAGTGGAAATGAGAGGTGGATGATATGAACACTTTGAAAAAGTTCTCCATGTTATTTATTCTCTGTGCCATTTGAAACTCATTATCTTTATACTTTTAGTTCACAAATAACTATCAAGTGCTTCTATTCAAGGCATTGTGCTAGGCATGATATCAGGAGGGAGGGCTTAAAATTCAACTTCAGTGAATATTGCCAGTTTTGTTAGTCATGTTAATAGCATTGTAATAGCATTATGGTTATGTTAGGGGAACACATATGAGGTATTTATGAATGAGATGATGCCTGAGATTTGTTTTAAAATACACACCAGCCAAAAACAGGATTGGGGGTAGAAAAATTAAACAGCTGGCAGAGCATTAACAATCACTGAAGATAGGTGATAGATTCATCGTAGTTTATTATACTATTTTTTATATTTTTGTCTATTTCTTGAATTTTTTCATAATGAAGATTTTTTAAATTCTTTTTTTTTTTGCTTTTTAATAGAATTTTTTTTCATTACCTTTTTGTTTTTTTTTTTTAAAGATTTACTTATTTATTTTAGAGAGAGAGCATGCATGTGCACTCAAGAGTCGTGGGTCGGGGGGAGAATCCTCAAGTAGACTCCCTGCTGAGTACTGAGCCCAAGCAGGGCTCAGTCCCATGACCCATTAGATCATGACCCCAGCTGAAACCAAGAGCTGGACGCGCAACCGACTGAGCCACCCAGGCGCTTCTCCCCCACTACCTACCCACACTTTTTTTGTTTTTTAATAGAGTTGGTCTCTCTACTTGGAAGCTGGATATCGGTTTGTCTGTCCTACTGTAGGGTGGAGCCACTAGTAGTTATAAGAACATAGTTATTTATATTGATTTTCTGAAAATAGGGTACTTATTTCTTTTGATTCATATCAGAATGAAAAGTTTAGTATTTGAATGTCTCAATGCTTTTTTGTTTGTTTATCCTTTGTAGTTGAAGCAGCTGGAGGAAAGGCCTTGCCGTGCGCTGTTGATGTGAGAGATGAACAGCAAATCAGTAATGCAGTGGAGAAAGCAGTGGAGCGATTTGGAGGTAGTGCCTTAATTCTGAAATAATTATTGAATATTGTAACTATAATTTTTTTTTTTTTTTTAGATTTTATTTATTTATTTGACAGAGACACAGCGAGAGAGGGAACACAAGCGGGGGGAGTGGGAGAGGGAGAAATAGGCTTCCCGCTGAGCAGAGAGCCTGATGTAGGGTTCGATCCCAGGACCCTGAGATCATGACCTGAGCCGAAGGCAGACGCTTAATGACTGTAATTTGAATTAAATTTTTTTTTTTAAATTTCCTAAGTCTCAGGAGTATAACCAGATATGAGTATTCACTTATGTAGAAACGCAGCTTAAAACCATCAGATGACTTTTTTATTGTTAAAAGTTATTTTGAATAATATAGCACACCTATAAAGTTAGGCCCTTGACAATAACTTATATCTAACTAGTTTCCCAGATTGCATCCTCTTGCCTCTCCTCAATTAATGTAGCCATCATTTGATGACTTTTGATATTTATTGGATTAAGTATAGCTAACTTACTGGCATTCAGGATATTTCACATTCTGATCTCAACAGACTTTTTTTGGTTCCATCGTTTTTCTATGCCCCAATATAAACACTTTATTCTTTCCCAAATAGTTTACTTCCAAATCCTTGCCTTGAAGTTTTTGCCTCTTAACTTTTTCTCTTCCCCATCCTGAGGCTTCTCCAGTGCCCACCTTTCCATCTCCAGTCCTACCTGAAATCCTCCCTTCTCTGTATCTTTTGAAATCCCACCTTTCTGTGGTTAAATCTCATCTCCTTCATGAAGCCAATTTCCTCACCATGCCAACCAATTAGAAGTGTATTTTTCCTTCTCTGAATTCCAAAACATTCCTTTGATCCTTATCTTGTACTACTTTATTTTTTTTAAAGATTTATTTTATTTTAGAGATAGAGAGAGTGGGGGTGGGGGGAGCAGAGGGCGAGAATCTCAAGTAGACTCCCCACCGAGCGTGGAGCCTGACACCGAGTTCGACCTCACAGCCCTGAGATCATGACCTGAGCCTAAATCAAGAGTGAGACACTTAACCAACTGAGCCCCTTGGGTGCCTTTGTTGTACTACTTTAGATCTTAGTATTTTTTTTTTCCTCAGTTAGTTCATAAACTCCTAGAAGGCAGATGTTAGAGGTTGAGCTAAAGCTTTGATGGTATTATAGCAAGGCACCTGGCCATGTCCAAATCCTGCCCAAACTGTTACCACGCTTCCCTGCTCCCCCCATAATATTCCAGAGACTGTATATATGTACATGTAAAAGATAATGACCAATGGGAAGAAAGGTAATATTTTATTGTTAGCATGGCTTATGCTTATAACCTTCAGTGCCAAGCACTATGTTATAAAGGACTGGAGCACAGAGTTTAATTTTCAATTAAGAGGATATGTTTTCAATACCTTTGAGGGGAAAAAAAATCTTCCAGTGTATTTTGCTACTTTTTTTTTTAAGATTTATTTATTTGAGAGTGAGAGAGAAAGTTTGTGCTCGTGTGGACGCAATGAGGAGGGACAGAGGAAGAGGGAGACAGAAACCGAAGCAGACTGCGCTGAGCGCACAGCCCGACATGGGCTCAATCTCATAACCCCGAGATCAGACTGAGCCAAAACCAAGTCGGATGCTCAAAGGACTTCACCACCCAGGCCCTGCCCCTGCTTTATTTGAGAGAGGCATCTGAAACACTTTTATCTTCTTGATAAATTTACAGATTGGCAATGGAGTTACCTCTATTTTGAAGTCTTTCCTAAGATTTCCTTTCCTTCTCCTTAGTATCCACTTTGATGTATTTCAGGTTTTTTGCTTTCCTTTTACCCATCAGTTCTGCTTTCCTGGCATAACAATGCACAATGAAGAGGGAACTCTGTTATACTCAGCTGCCACTCTCTCATAATTATTAAGGATGCCACCTTTATAAGAGATGATTCATAAGCTGCTCCTTTTTTTTTTTTTCTTTCCCTCTGTACTCTTTTTCCACAAAGATGCCAAGCTTTTATTTTTTGTTTGTTTGGTTTTAGTTCCATACTGTGGTTCCTACTATTGTGGCCTTCTGTTTTGGAATTCTATAGGCCTTTGAATTATGCCTTTTGGGAAGACTACCTTTTCCTGATATTTCTCTCTGCTAGAGAATTGTCCTTTTAACAAAGTTGATAATGCTTTCAAACCTGTACCCTCAGGGTTCTCTGCCACAGGGTGCTCCCTATCACCTTGCCTTCCTTCACCTTCAGAGTTTTCCAGGCCTGAGTAAATTATGCTGTTTCATAAACCACAGAATCATTCTTTCCTGCTAACTTTTTTTTTCAGCAGGTATATATATATATGTATACACACACACACACACACACCTGCTTGTGCATTATTTTTCACTATTATTCCCTGATCCATTTTAATTTGGGCCATCTGAGTTTGAAATTTTAACCTACCTCTTAATTGAAGCTATTTTTTTCTTTATCACTGGCAAGTCAAATAATTTACCATGTCAGTATATCCTCATTTCTCATCTACTTTCTTTGCTTTTGGGCCCAGAAGTTTGCTCTGCTAACATACTTATCACTTGTTATCACATAGTGAGAGAGATAAAGTCAATAAAGTCTGAATTTGCTTAAGGAATCTGTTGATTGGATCAGCCCTCACTAGCTTCATCTCTCTGAAGAGGGTGATTCTACACAGGGTGGTGTGTATACCAATCAGCCCAGCATCCACTCAGACCTTCTTTCATTTCACTTTGCTCCCACCTAGCTTCTTCTTTAGTGAGTATCATCTTTCTTGCCTCATAGGCCCTAGCAGAGTGCCTTATGTGGCATAGCCACTTGCTGATTATCTTTCAGTGATGTGGCTGAGCAGCTCATAGCTTTGTGGATTGACAAGTATGTCCTAGATTTTAAAAATTCTTTTCACAGGTCTTTGCCTTGTGAAGGCAACCATCATTATGTTCATCCTAGAAGGTTGGTAGTCACAGGGTCTAGAACTTGTCTCAGATATATGGATGACTTACTTGAATTTTATTATAATGAAGCTATAAAATGTAATATGGTTGAATCCAAAGTTATCCTAAGGACACATTTTAAGAAAACATTAGCAACACAGAGTTTATTAAAAAAAAAAAAAAGAATATAGAAACTGAGGAATGAGGATGTGATCAAGATTTTATGCTACTATATATGAAGAAAAGGTGCTTATGACTAAAATGTTTTAGTGAGTATAATAGCCTTATTTAAGACATTATCCACATATTGTGAGAGAGGGGCATAATAAAGAGGGTAACAAAAAATGTCTATTGCAACAGTCTAAGCCGGCAATAGTAGAAGTTGTGATGATTCTATTTAACTGAATATTAAGTGCCCTTTAAAAAGAATTATGAATCATGTAGAACCAGAGAAGTGTTTAAGATACTTTTGTATTTTACTATTTTCATTTAACATTACTTAACTAAACTTGTAAACAAGATATGTTACATATAGAGGGACTGGACAGAATGTGCATAATCATTATTCTAGGTTAATTTTGTGTATGAATTACTAAAACAAACTTGATATACTTTGATGATTTGCCTAGAATTGAAAATTCACTCTAGGTCTTTTCTCCTTCCCCAGTTCCCAAGACCAGGAAGGACCTCTTTTATTAAAGTAAGGGTCTTAGGAGGGAGACTAGTGAGCTTGGAAGGAGGGCCTTGGAAAGATGCTAGAGAGAAGGGAAAACTTTAAGGAAGTTAACCTAAGGTTCATGGAGACAAAGAGGGAAGACTGGGAGGTAAGAGAACAAATAGGAATGGAAGCTACAAACCACTGAGGACTAAGCCTCCTTGTAGTTTCACGTGGAGCTCTGGCAATTGGCTTTCTCCATTGTGCCAGCGAAAATCATTTGGGTGTTTTGACACAGCTATCAAGTCTTGCATTGGTGTATTGTCAGTCATTTAACCTAAAAGAAGTATTTGTGAACCAACTTAGGTTTCAACTATATAGACTAAATGTTTTTATTTCTTTTTGTTATAAAGTTTAAATTACATTAATGGGAAGTTGATTATTTGAAAACAGGAATTGATATTTTGGTGAATAATGCCAGTGCTATTAGCTTGACCAACACATTGGAAACACCTACAAAAAGAGTGGATTTGATGATGAATGTCAACACCAGAGGCACCTTTCTGACGTAAGTTACAGTGGCTGGGGAGAACCTTGCAACGTGTTCTCAGAGAACTAGTTGTAAACAGATTTGAACCAGACTAGCAATACAGTTTAAAACCTAGGAAGTTGTTATAAAGGCCTAAAAAGTGCTCCAAGTCAATAAATGGTATTTTAAATAGTTTTATTCAGAGCTCCCTTTCTCTGTGAACCTAATAAAGTCTAAAGTATAGCTCCAGCATTTTCAGACATTTGTATGAATAAATATATACATGCATGCCAATTCTTATTATTCAAATCAGCAATAGTCTTTCCTTTCTCTGAAAAACACTGGTTAGAGTTATGTAAATCATAGGAAGCTCATTATGAATCACATTTTTTTTTCCATTTTTATTAAGTTTTTAATTTTAATTCCAGTATAGTTAACATAAGTGTTATATTAGTTTCAGGTGTCTGTGGATCCCATTTTAATGTAACAAAAGGTTAATGCTATCTTGGGGAATATCAGGGGGAATACGGAATACAGAATGAAACCAAATGTAGTCGTGATCTGTTCTGGATCGGTCAGACAGTCCACTCTTGTTTGTCCATTTTTTATCTGTTTATTTATTTATTTATTTATTTTTTTAAAAGATTTTATTTAGTTATTTAACAGAGAGAGACACAGCAAGAGAGGGAACACAAGCAGGGGGAGTAGGAGAGGGAGAAGCAGGCTTCCCAGCAGAGCAGGGAGCCCGATGCGGGGCTCAATCCCAGGACCCTGGGATCACGACCTGAGCCGAAGGCAGAGGCTTAGCGACTGAGCCACCCAGGCGCCCCTTTTATCTGTTTATTTACCCTCAGGTTCTATCACTTTTTCATGTGGATGTTAAGAGAGATAGCATAGAACTTTTTTGTCACCTCACATGTATCTTATATGTATCTGCCTTATGGTTATACATAAAATCGGTTAAGACCAATTAGGACCTTGGGCGTTGGAGTTAGACTCCCTTGAGTATGTGCTATCTCATGACTTTGTGCAAGTAACTTAACTTCTTGCAGATTCTCTTTCCTTATTTGTAAAATGGGGATGTGAAGTATGTTGTAGGATTGGTCGTGAGAGTTAAATGTAAAATTTGTTGTTAATCTGGAACTTTTCTCTTAGAGATACATTTTGTTGGGTCTGCAAAACTGGGCCCTGACAGTGTAAAACAATGTTTCTATTAGCTCCTTTATTAGCTCAGAGTTTTATTAGTTACGCATATGAAAAAGATCAGATTTACACAAAAATCCAGATTTCTGGCTTTTCTTGAAATTGGAAAATCTGGTCACAGCATACCCGTATGGCAACAGTTAGCTGCTATAGCTGAGTGGCAGAGTGTCAACTGCCTCATTAGAGACATTAGCCTTGGCCTTTTGTTACATTACGGTGTGATTCATAGACACCTGAAACTGAGGACAGGCTAAAAGGTTGCCATTTTTATCTTGTTGTGTGCTTGCCCTGCTATTTTTCTTAAAGAGGGAAGTAAAATATTTCTTATACCCATGTGTCTGTCTGAAGTGGGAAAATGAGACATATGCCAAGAGAGCCATATGTTCAAGTAAAATGAGTGAGAGCCTACTTCTTTATAGATGTGGAGCATATTTCTATAAATTCAGTATGTAAAGTACATCTCTATTGAATGGAAACCACAGTGAGTCAAACCATGGTAAGAACTATGGCAAACATACAGAAAAAACTGGGTGAAAAACTTACATAGAAAAAGGACTAACACTTCAATAGGATTTGTGTTTATTTTCAAATAAAACAAGCAGTACTGCTTTGTGTTACAGTCGTGTTACATGAAGAAATTATCTGGGCCTCAAGATCTTTTACAGATGGTAACTTGTGAAAGAATTTTGATTAAATATAAACACTCATTTAAACAAGCATTTAAAAATATAAACCTAAGCAGGAATACTGTTGCTCAGCATGTTGAATTAAGGCTTAGAAGGACACAATTTGTGAAAAGTTAAATCATTTGCGGCAGTTTCGATTGTAGATGATGAAGCCGAGAATATAAATATTCTACTCACCAAGTTTTATTTACTTAAGGCGTCAGGAGAATTTTGATGTGGTTAAAAAAACTGTTAGACCGGTACCCATGACATGAACATGGAAATGACTTGTTAAGTGTTGAGAAACAGCTTAGGAGGTTTAATACAGATATGTCAAAATTGTAGTAACCATAACTATGGACAGTGCTGTTGCAATGGTCAGTGTTAACTTTAAGCTGTAATGAATGGTCAGGGTTAGCTTTAAACTTATTAAACTAATGTAGAAATGTTTCACAGAAATGCAGAAAATAATTTTCTTCATCGTATTGTTCATTAGGAATTGCTCTTGCTAAAAAGTTAAAGATGCACTGTGTTATGAACGTTAAGAACTAAACACACTTCCATGCTTTAAACCACAGTTATGTGCTTTACAAATGTGGACTACAAACATGATAGTCTGCTCTGTGACAAGATTATGTGGCTATGGTGTATTGTTGAAGAGATTTTGTTTGTTTTTTTAAGATTTTATTTATTTATTTGAGAGAGTGAGCGAGTGTGTGTGTGTGTGTGAGAGAGAGAGAGAATGAATAGGGGCAGAGGGAGAGGGAGAAGCAGACTCCCTACTGAGCAGGGAGCCCAATGGGGGGCTCGATCCCTGAGCCCCGAGATCATGACCTGAGCCGAAGGCAGAGGCTTAACCGACTAAACCACCCAGGTGCCCCGAGATTTGGGTTTGTTTTATTTATTTATTTATTTATTTATTTATTTATTTATTTATTTTAAAGATTTTATTTATTTATTTGAGAGAGAGAGAATGAGAGCACGAGAGGGAAGAGGGTCAGAGGGTGAAGCAGACTCCTTGCTGGGCAGGGAGCCCGATGTGGGACTCGATCCCGGGACTCCAGGATCATGACCTGAGCTGAAGGCAGTCGCTTAACCAACTGAGCCACCCAGGCGTCCCGAGATTTTGGTTTTAATTTGAAAGAAATCAACTGTTTTTTTGCCACCCATGAGAGAATTCCCAGCTCAATTCCCATACAAAGATTGGATCAAAGACTTAACTTTATCAGTCGACATTATGACTAACATAAACACAAATGTCTGACTCTCATTGCTCATTCCTTGTGAAATTATGTCTTTGGAAAACCCATTTGGCAAGAACAACCTGGCCCCTTTCCTATACCATGATCCTTTTCCAAAAATGAAACTGATGGTTTAAACTACGTTCCTGCAATTATAGATTTGAAGGTTCAGTTCAAAACAAAGCAGAAAAAACCCTGATTTCAAACTGTGAGAAAATGAACTAACCTTGTTCAGGTACCTTTCTCAATGAATACTACTTGTGTAGTTGGAGAACTACAGATGGAACATACGAGCCATAGGGCACTAATGTACTAAAAACTAAATATGAGTACATTGGAATAGCAGATCTACAAATATCTCAGGAAGAGATACACTAAAATAAAAACCCTTTTTTAAAGCAAAGATTCTATTCATTGTTGAAAGTTCCTACATTTAGGGACAGCTATTATTTTATTTTACTTTATTTTATTTATTTACTTTTTTAAAGTAGGCTCCATGCCCAACGTGGGGCTTGAACTCATGACCCTGAGATCAAGTCGCATGCTCTACTGACTGAGCCAGCCAGGTGACCCTGGAACAGCTATTTATTTCATTTATTTATTTATTTATTTTGGGGGGGCAGCTATTTTTTAAAATAATACTAAATATTTTTCCCAGTTAAAGGCATATTGCAATGCCAAATGAAAGACCCGATACTGACCTTTGGACCAAAGAAAAGGTGTCAGGTTTTTGGCCCTCTGTGGAAGTTATAAGTTATAAAAGAGAAAATTGATAATGAAACATTTCCATTTTAATTTTAATTTTGTTTTTTATTTAGTGACACTCATTTATTCATGGAAGGAAAGTATAGATTATTTTCTCAGGCAAGTCTGAGAAATATCGTCAGGGAGAGAGTGGGGACAAGGCCCAAAGAACTGACCTGTTCGGAGGTTTCAGCAAGGATCTAGAGCTGTTTCCTGATCCCTGGCACCCAGGGCCCTGTGGCCTGTGACTTGTATCACAGGTTTACAGAAACAGGGTTGGAAGGCAGAGATGAGGTAGAAGGCAAATCCTTAATTTGTATTTTTAATAAAAGTTTTAAATATGTAATCTCCAGTGTAATGCTTATAGAAATTCAGTAGTAAAGTTCAATTGTATTTCTGAACAGTTAATTTTTCTTTCCTATACACAGCTCACTTTATTCATTTGCTCAAATGCCTATGGGGCGTTTGAGCTTGTAACCCTAATTAAATAACATAATTCATGTAAGAGTAATAAGGGCAGTGCCTAGCACACAGTAAGTTTTCAGTAAGCTTAACTATTTTATTAAGCTGGAAGTGTTAGTATTTAAGTGTGGTGCTAATAGTCTTTAACATAGAAGATTGAGCATGTTGCTGTAAAAAACGCAGCTGATTTAGGATTAGTAATGCTGAGGGCCAGGCAGGCAAAGTGCAGGTGGAAAGGTTTTATCTAATAGATCAAAGGAGAAGCTCATGTTTATAATGTAAATGAAATAAGCTCTTTCCTTGCATGTAAAATGTAGTCATGGTCTTATTGCCTGGAATAGATTTGGTTTTTCCTGTTCAGATTTTGAGGTGCATCTTCATTGTTTTAATGAATATCAGCTGTAATATTGTTTGCCCCTCCCCAACTCACCCCCATGAAAGTGAAGCACTTTTGGAAAGGAAAAACAATATGTATAAAACCTGTTAGTGATATTGATTATATTTGATTTCTAGACCTGAACAGACGTTGCAGATGGTAATAAGAATGTTGTACATTAGTTAATAAAAAAAACTGACAAGAATCAACTAGTTCAAAGTCCTAGAAATTATTGAATGTGAAATAAAACTAAAAGCTGTACAGCTTTAAGCTACGTGTATGTTATAGCTTAATAACACAGTGTAGCTTAATCATTAATAAATTAAAAATATTGAACCTGAGTTTTTTTAAAAAATAAATTGCCTACCTTTTTGGACAGCTTTTTAAAAAACATATAAAAACTAAATATTCCTCCCAAAGGCATACTGCATTGCATATTGGTGCAAATTAAATTTGGCAATGTTTTGGGAGTTGTGTTATTAAATTACAGTTCCAGCATAGTAGGAATACCACACCTACTAAGATGAAATAAATCGGCATACATAATACTAATAATAGCAATTGTTTATTTCATGTTTAACATATGCACTGTTCAAAGTGTTGCATATTTATCATCTCATTTTAATCCCTGGGTCAGTCCTAGATGGTAGCAGGTATTACCAACACTTACAAATGAGAAAACTGAGAATGTATTTTGCCTAAGATCACACAATGAAGGGGAAGAAAAAGGATTTGAGCCCTGGTCTGTGTGACTTGAGCACCATGTTCTTTACCATAGTGTTGCCTGTGCTGGCTAGCAAGGACATTAACTTGCTGAAAATTATGCATGTGTGTGTGTATTTGTGTGTGTGTTGGGTGGGAAGAATTGGAAGGATGTAGTTGAGGATAGCTTCAGTTGGATTTAAGGCTAATGTGGCAAGGATTTGATATTTTCATCAAGCAGATCATTTTGTCAGGCCGTTAAGCAAAGTTTCAGAAAATGAAAATTAATTGCTTTTCCTACCTTCATTTTAAAAAAGTAAACACAAAGGTACCCTACATATTTCTGACCAAGTTTAGTTGCTTTGTAGAAGTACTTTAAAATATAATTTTAGGAATGCCTGGGTGGCTCACTGGGTTAAACGTCCAACTCTTGATTTTGGCTCAGGTCATGATCTCAGGATTGTAAGATCGAGCCCTGCATCAGGCTCTTTGCTCAGCAGGGAGTCTGCTTGAGATTCTCTTTCTCCCTCTGCCCCTCTGCTCTCGTGTATGTTCTCTTATCTCTCAAATTTTTTTATTTAAAAATAAAAAAATAATTTTGAGAAGTGGGGAAGTTGTTAGAAAGCTATTAACTTGATGTGTTTTCTTTTGCTTTCAGATCTAAAGCATGTATTCCTTATTTGAAAAAGAGTAAAATTGCTCATATCCTCAATCTCAGCCCACCGCTGAACCTAAATCCATTGTGGTTCAAACAGCACTGTGGTAGGTGGTAGGTTAAGGGAATGGTTTGTTTGGTTAATTTGTTTTGTATTAAATCAGTGTTTCTATGATGTAATCACAATTTTTACATAGCATTCAACATTAAATTTTCTATGTAGAATCAATAGCACTTTGGAAACTAGATTCTTAAACTTTTATCTGTAATTTAAAACATTGAGGTATAATTTACATTCAATAAAATGCACAGATCTTAATGGTTCAGTTTGAAGAGTTTTGACAAATGTATACATCTGTATAACCAATAGCCAAATCAAGATAATGGATTTCCATCATTCCAGAAAGCTCCCTCAGGTCTCAATGGGTGTGTTTTATTGTATATAACTTAGTCATCAATGAAGTTGGTTAGAAACTATGAAGTACTTTTTCTTTCACAGCGAACTAATGATTTGGGGTGAGTATGCATTAAATTACAAGATTTATGTAGAGGTGCCTCCTTTAAAATAGTTACATCAGGTACTTACTCCTCCTTTGTACATAATTCACTAAAATTTGGGCAGGTAATTAGAATAGAAAGCCAAAGGCAAAACTGAAAGAAGTTCTGTTTTAATTGACTAGGTTAGCAAATCTGCAACTTTTTGTTCTTGTTTTACTAGCAGTATAGCCCTAGAAAGTGGTTATTTATACTCACAAAGTTGTTTCTTAATTAAGCACTATTCTTTGTGGTTTCTTTCAGCTTATACCATTGCTAAGTATGGTATGTCTATGTGTGTGCTTGGAATGGCAGAAGAATTTAAGGGTGAAATTGCAGTCAATGCATTATGGCCTAAAACAGGTATGTATTTTTTTTTTTAAAATCCAGTTATTGGATTCTCATTTATTGTCCTTGACACTTTTGAGATACATCTTGGGTAGGTAGGTTGAGGTGGGAAACAAATTAAACTTTTTTTTTTGTTTTTTAAGAGAGAGGGAGAGCATGCGCATGAGAGCCAGCCTGCACGAGCGAGCATGGGTCAGGGGTGGTTGGGGGGCAGAGGGAGAGGGAGTAGGAGAGAGACTTGGGGCTTGATCTCACGACCCTGAGATCGTGACCTGAGCCAAAATCAAGAGTCAGACACTCAACCGACTGTAACACCCAGGCACCCCTAAACTCTCTTTTTAAACTTAGAAGTTGGGGAAGGGTGAAATATGGAAGTAATTGAATTCTGAAGGGCTTATATGAGCATGGGAAGATTGGGGAAGGAAAAGTATTCTAATAGTCTCATCTTGGGGCAGCCACAATACTAGATGGTATGTTTTTTAAAAATTATATTTTCTGTTTGGGGCTAGGGTATAGAAGTGCTTCTGGATATTAAAATTATAGACAACCACCTACCATTTTTATTTAAATTAAATTTTTAATTTTAATTCCAGTATAGTTAACATTCATTGCTATATTAATTTCAGGTGTGCAATACAGTGACTAAACAATTCTCTACGTTGCTCAGTGCTCATCCAGATAAGTGTACACTTAATCCCCTTCACCGATTTCACCCATCCCTCCACCCACCTCCCCTCTAGTAACTGTCAGTTTGTTCTCTATACTCAAGAGTCTGTTTTTGGGCGCCTGGGTGGCTCAGTCGGTTAAGCATGTGCCTTTGGCTTGGATCATGATCGATCCTGGGATCGAGCTCAGCAGGGAGCCTGCTTCTCCCTCTCTCTCTGCCCCTCCCCCGCTTGTGCTCCCTCGCTGTCACTCTCTGTCAAATAAGAGTCTGTTTCTTGGTTTGTTTCTTTTTTATTCTTTTGCTCATTTGTTTTGCTTCTTAAATTCCACATATGAGTGAGATCATATGGTATTTGTCTTTCTTTGATTGACTTATTTTGCTAAGCATTATACTCTTTAGCTCTTTCCATGTGTCTCAAATACTTTCTCCACAGTTGGTTTATTCAAATCAGGATATAAACAAGTTTCACACATCATATTTGTGTGATATGTTTTTCATATATAGTAGTTAACACTTTTAATTTTTTTTTCCTTGCCACTGATTTCTTGAAAAACAAGGTCTTGTCTTTTTTATTTTTTTAAAGATTTTATTTATTTGACAGAGAACACAGCAAGAGAGGGAACACAAGCAGGGGGAGTGGGAGAGGGAGAAGCAGGCTTCCTGTGGAGCAGGGAGCCAGACGTAGGGCTCGGTTCCAGGACCCTGGGCTCATGACCTGAGCCGAAGGCAGGCACTTAATGACTGAGCCACCCAGGCACCCTGAAAAACCAGGTCATTTATAGAGTTTCCGACATTCTGGATTTTCCTGATTTCTCCCCATTGTGTCTTTTAACATGTTTCTTTATTGTCTAAGGACCTTTCTATTGTTTATTCCTATTCTTCTTCTTTCTGGAATTATTTTGTTTATTCATTTATTGCTCAACAGATATCTGTTGGGCAGTTATTATGTGGAGACATTGTGCAGGGCACTGTGATACTTCGTTAGCCTTTACACCTAATGGATGACGAGGTTGGTAAGAGTTGGCCATGAAAACACATTTAATCCAACATTTTTGCGAAGTATTATAGCTCTAGGGGTACTCTTGAACTGAATTGCCACATACAAGAATGTGAAACTAACCCAGAGTTCTAGTTTAGGGACATTTGAGGGATTTCTTTTTATCTTTGTTCCCATCTGCTGTCTACTGGGTGAAGGGATTTTATCTGTTCCAAGCAGAAGTGAAAGGGCCAGTGACCTATGGTATTGATGCGGGGGAAACGGGAGGCTGTGGGTGAGAATGTATGGAGCACGGGGGCATGTTGCTAATGGAACTTTTAGGAGAATTTAGCTGTTACAACCACCTCTGTAGTCACCACCTTTCTTTTCTTCTAAGGGCTCAAAGGATCAATTTTTTTTTTTAAAGATTTTATTTATTTATTTGACAGAGCGACAGCGAGAGAGGGAACACAAGCTGGGGAAGTGGGAGAGGGAGAAGCAGGCTTCCTGCAGAGCAGGGAGCCCAACATGGGGCTCAATCCCAGGACCCTGGGATTATGCCCTGAGCCGAAGGCAGACGCTTAACGACTGAGCCACCCAGGCGCCCTTCAAAGGATCAATTTTTAAAAATTTCTTTCTTCTCCTATTTGACCGACATTCCTTTCTTCCATGGCCCACTGTGAGATCGGAACCATGTTTTATTGCTTCTTCATTTTTCCTTATGTTTCTGTAGCAGACACAGTTCTTTTAGGATTTTCTGGAGAATGATATTCTTTGCAGTGGGGCAAAAGATCAAAGTGAAAAAGTGCTTCTGTAGTGTGTTCAGACTGCATGTCAAGACTCATTGGTGAGTCATGAAATCAATTTTGTGGATTGTGAAATTGAGTTAGAAGGTAGCAGCCAGAATTCTGTTGTCTTATTTCTAATGGAATGAGATAGAAAATAGTAGGGGGCATTGCAGATTGTCAATATTGGTTTCATATATAAATGAATACAAATGTATTTGTGAGTGTGTGTATACGTAGGTATTATGTATTCTTAGTCATGTCGGTAAAAAGTGTTACTGATTATGGATCACAGTTAAAAACTTTAAAAGCTCACACTTCACTGTGCCTTTCTTCTTCAACTTCCTTTCCTTCTCTCATCCGTTCTCAGCCTCCTCCTCCTCCCACTTCAATCATTGCTGTTGGTAGATAGAGTCAGGAAGTTAGTTTGAAAGGCAGGTCTCCCAGAAAACGAAGTCCTAACATAGTATTTTCCCTTTTTTATACCTATATTATGTTACTTGTCATTATCGATTCATTCATCTTCCAAACATTTTTATATGCCAGGCACAGTTCTCTGTACTATTTATTCATTATGCATCCACAGATAATTTATTAAGTGTCTACCTGTGTACAAGGGATTAAGGGGTACTAAGATGAATGGGATGCAGATCTTACCGTTAGAGTTTACTCTTCAGGGTGGTTACCATCATCTGCATTTTGTCCTTCCCTTCTCACCTCCACTCCCCTAACCTTTAGGTCTTTGGGATCCTGGGGTAACAAAGTTAGAAAAAGCCTAGTCTGACTCTAAGAATTAAAGATTTTATTCATAAAATAGATAATTATTGGACACCTTTTATGTGCCAAGGTCAGGTCTAGTAGTTTAAGATACATCAGAGAACAAAACAGACAAGAAGCTCTGTCCTTTTGGAACTTAATTAGTTTAATTGGGAGAGATACAATAGACAGTTAACGTAATGAATAGTAAAGTATCTAGAAGGTGATAATGCTATAGAAAAAAATAGAACAGAGTAAGGGGGATTGGGAGTCTCAGGTACTGGAAGGGTAGATTGCAATTTTATTTTATTTTTTAAGATTTATTTATTTGAGAGAGAGAACACATGAGCAAGCAATGGGGAGGAGCAGAGGGAGAGGGAGAGAGAGATTTTTTTTTTTAAGATTTATTTATTTATTTGACAGAGAGAGAGGGAGGGGCCAGGCAGAGGGAGAAGGAGAAGCAGGCTCCCCACTGAGCAGAGAGCCTGATGCGGGGCTCGATCCTAGAACCCTGGGATCATGACCTGAGCCGAAGGCAGACGCTTAATGGACTGAGCCACCCAGGAACCCTGAAGAGAGAGACTCTTAAGCAGACTCCCTACTGAGCCTGGAACCCAACATGGGGCTTGATCTCATGACCCTGAGATCATGATCTGAGCTGAAATCAAGAGTCTATGCTTAACCGACTGAGCCACCCAGTCACCCCTAGATTGCAGTTTTAAAAAGAGTAGAAAGAAAGGTTTGGCCTTTTTGAGAAGGTGACATTTGAACATAGACTTGAAGGGGGTGCTGGAGTTAGCCTCGGTGTTGTGTTAGCTGCAGGGTATGTGAGGGAAGCACTGAAGGCAGAGGAAGTAGCCAGGGGAAAGGTCCTAAGAGGTGAGCATGCGTGGCATGATGAAAGAGCGGGGAGAAGGCCAACGTGGCTGGAGTGAGGGGAGAATAGCAGAAAATGAGATGATGCCCATAAGGAAATGGGGAGCAGATGTTGTAGGTCCTTGTCAAGACTTGGGTTTTTATTCTGAGTGAAATGGGGAGCTCTTGCAGGGTTTTGTTTTGATTTGTTTTAAAGATTTTATTTATTTAGAGTGTGTGTACACGTACGCAGGGGCGGGTAGGGGCAGAGGGAGAGGGAAGAGAGACTCTCAAGAAGATTCCACACCCAGCACAGAGCCCGATGTGAGGCTGGATCTCATAACCCTGAAATCAGGATCTGAGCCAAAATCACGAATTAGGTGCTTCACATACTGAGTCACTCAGGCACCCTTTTGGCAGGGTTTTGAGCAGAGGAGGGACGTGACGATACTTGAATTTTTTAAAGGATCTGTCTTGATGCTCTTAAGAATAGATTCTTTGGTGGGTGGGTGCCTGGTTGGCTCAGTTGGTAGAGCATGCGACTCTTCATTTAATCTCAGGTGCCATGAGTTCAAGCCCCACGTTGGGTTTGGAGCCTACTTTAAAAAAAAAAAAAAAAAAGAATAGATTTTCTTTTTTTTTTTTCCTCCCAACAAACCCTTGTGTTGAGGGCTGACTTTCAGTAGATCACAGCGAGGGAGCTGCTCGAAACCCCGACCCAGAAGCAGGTCGTTCGAAACCCCGACCAGAAGCAGGTCGTCTACGAATGGTTCAGCACCAGGTTCCCCACGAACGTGTGTTGCATGACAGGCGAGGGGGCATCCCCCTTCTGGTCCTGCCTATTTCCCAGGAGGAGGGGCTCTCCACATCTGACCCTGGTCCCCATGCGCAAGGCTCTGACCTGCCTGCAGGAAAAGAATAAGTTCTTGAGGGTCAAAGGGAGAAACAGGAGACAGAGAGACCAGGTTGGAGACTA